TCATGCCATGGCCACAATCCACTGTCAGATCAAAGCCACAAAGACGATGAACTCAACTTGTGCCGATTCCTTAAGCTCCTCTAAACAGTTGATCTGCCTTTGTTCTACATTCTGAAACTACCAGGAATTGTTTTTTGCTGTCATTCCACAGTTTATGTTTGTTAGCTACAGGAGGATTGGTCTTCTGGGAACTTATTCCACCATTCCAGAAGGGGAATATTTTTATCTTACATTTCTCATTCTTACAAGGAATATCTGGATCATTTTTCTTTCAGATGTTTCAAACAGTTCCTTCTCACTTTTTATTTTCTTTGTGTGCATGCTCAGTCATGTCCAACTCTTTGCATCCCCATGGAATGACTCTTTGCAGCTCCATGAACTGCAGCATGCCAGGCTCCTCTGTCTTTCACTATTTCCCAGAGTTTGCTCAAATTCATGTCCATTGAGTTGGTGATGCTGTCTAACCATCTCCTCATCTGCTTTCCCCTTCTTTTGCCTTTACCACCACCTGGGATTCATTAAGTACGTACTGACAGTTCTTCATTCTCTAAATTTCTTCTTACTCCTTGATTTCCTTTAACACACCAAGATGTGTTCTAATGAGGGGTCCTTTGAAGCTTGCTGCTACTTTTGTTGGCTATCCATAGATTATACTTTTCTTGACATCTGTTACTCTACTTCTACCACTAGCAGTCATGAAGCATATGTAGTGAAGGAAGTAAAATAGACGAGATCAAATTTACTTAGCTGTCAGTGGTCAAATTACTTCTGCTAAGGGATTAAGTTTTTGAGATGTAAATGTGATAGATTTCTAGTATTTCTTCCCATTAAAAAGGTTTATAATATTGACTGAAGTCCAATTTTTATTGTTTTATGTAATAAATATTTATTTAGATTTATCATCATGTTTGTCAGGTTCTTTGATCACAAGTGCTTTTCAGCCCTTCCCTATGAGATCATATTCCTCTTGAAGTATAACATTTAGAAGTTCCTTTGGGGAAAATCTGTTGGTAGTAAACAGTTTTTGTTTCCTTGAGTCTTTATTTAACCTTCAGTCTTAAATAACATTTTAGCTGAGTTTGGAAGTCTAGATTGACAGTTATGTTCTTCCTCTCTCTGCTTTGAATACATCACAAATGCACTTTTTTTTAATGTTTGTGCTAAGATGCCATCTTCGCTATTTTCCTAATCTTAAAAGGAAACTTTCAACATTTTATGGTTTTTTTGGTGATGTTTGTTGTAGATTTTTATAGATGTCCAGATGTCTATTAACTTTGAAGATGTTTCCTTCAGTGGCTAGTTTGCTAACTTTTTTTAACGAATGGATGTTGAATTGTGTCACAAGCTGCATATCGAGAGATACAAAAATCATAGATTTTGAAGTTTTTATGTACTTGATTGTGTTAATCAAATCTCTAATATTATAGTAGCCTTGTATTCCAAGAAAAACCCAACATGATCATGATGGAACATTACATTTTTTTCATGGATTGCTGGATTCAGTTTGTTAAAAAAGTGTGTAGCTTATTTCAGTCTAAGTTCATAAATGAAGTAGATCACTATTTTCATTTTCTTTGCAAACTGCTGTCTGGTTTGGGCATCATGATGTGTGTTTAGAAATATTTTCTCTTTTTCTGTTTTCTAGATAGTTTATATACATTGAGAATTTAAGTGTTTAGATCAGTTGTATTCTTTGTGGGAAGATTTTTAATACTTTTGATTATTCTGTGGTTACACAGTAGTTTCAACTTTGCTATTTCTTCTTGGATCCATTTTACCAAGTTTTTAATAAATTTTTAAAAAATATTTCTCCATTTCATATACATTGTAAAGTTCTTTGGTGTAAAGTTGTTCACAGTGTCTCTTCTTATTTCTGTAAGCCTTTACATGATCAGTAGATGTCCCTTCACTTTTTTATTCCTAATAATATTTATTTTTACCTTCTCTTTTTTGTTGATTAGTTTTAATATTATTATTTTCCACAAAAAACTACATCTCAGCTTTTTCTTATTTCTTCTGAATCTTTATATTCTATTTTTTGGATACCTCTCTTTCTCTTTCCCTTATTTTGTTCCTCTTTTTCATCTTTAATAATACCAAGGTGCTCTCTGATAGAAAAATTATTTTTGAAAATATTATCCCATACTGAATTACACTTACAGTCAGACATTACATTATTGAAATTGTAGTTTGGAAGATAGTTTATGGACAAACAAAGAGTTACATGTTCAAGATTTAATTGCTGCTTCCATGCATATGCATTTAATATTTTTTATTTTAACATAAAATTTAGAACATGTTAGTGGATCTATTTGCTATAAAAAATGGGTACACATCTTTGAAGATAAATTTTATAATATCTATACATGGATAGTTAATCTTCCATTTAAATTATTCCATTGAAAAGATAATAGTTTTTCATATAAACTTTTTAAAAGCCTTCTTGAGATAAACATCCAACTTCATTTATGCTTTTAATGGTCATTTCTTATTATAGAGAAATAAAAAAGAATGTTATATTATTTTTGTTAGTTTGCTAAGAGATGTTGGGTTACGCATTTCTGTCCTGGATTCCTTTGCAAAGCATTTTAAGTATTAAAGTTCTTAATTGACATATTAAGAGATTTCACTAATTAAGTTGAAAGGAATATTTGACTCTGGGCTGTGAAACACACAGAGAGCATTTGCTTCTAACAAAATACACAACCCTGCCCCTCTTAAGAAAGAGTTTGGTGTTACATAGCTCTAATATCACATATCTGAGATTTTGCACTTCTCAAGGTGAAAACAGTCCATCTCATTTCTTCCATATTTTATTTCTTTACTTTTGACAATTTGGTTTGAAATCCTGAATCTGAGTTACCTTTCACAATGAGGTTATAATTTACTTTCAGTAAGATCCCAGAACTATAGACAATAAAGAGTAAAGAGATCTCCTCTATGAGAGATTTATTCTACATGACTGTGCTTATCTTGAAAAGCTGCCAAGTTTGCTTTTATGCTCTCAGGGCCTCAAGTGGGAATCAATTAGTGTACCTGCTGTTTTGAATAGCAGATAATGGTTGAAGGTCAGAATTTAGACCACCAACAGTGTTCAACAAGCAAGCGTGATTTTAAAACTGCAACGTAAACAAGTTTTGTTTTTTAGTTCAGTATGCATTGGTTAACTAATGAACTTGATTAAAATAATTCATGTTACAATACAACTAAGCTTTATTGAAAATTAATAAAGCAAAATTCTTCTTTGGTGGAAAATTCAGCATTTGACCCCATAGTTATAAAATTTTATTAACAAGATTGTCTTGGAGGAAAAAGAAAACTTTTAGGAACTAAAATCCTCAGGTTAGATATCGACTAATTCAAATATAAATGTGTCCACAAAAGTACATGATAAACAGTTAACCTCTCTGCTTATTTTCAAGAGTCAAAAAATATTACAGAGAAGCTGTTTGATTTAGGCATTCTTTAAAATTAGTTCCTGGATAAATTTTTGATGAATGATATGTACAAACAATAGCTCATATATTAATCTAAATCATATTCTAAATATAATAAGTATTTGTATGAAATATTTTTAGGCAGAAAAACTGTCACAGAAGATAAAATTGTGCAAATAAAATATATCACACTTCTGCCATAGAGTATTGAATTTTTAAGAGCTTAAAACAGTTCCGAAATCTAAATTTTTAAATAAAGAATAGGAAAATAATATTTGGGGAGTTGTAACAAATTTGGGTTTGGAGATGTAACAGACCTGCATGAAAACTTAGTTTAAATATATCATCCCCAAAGTGTTTAGTAGATTTGAGTCGTAAGTTAATTTTAACTTTGCAGTGATTTTCAATCTGTTTTGAACACCTCTGCCAGGGTAAATCTCCTAAAATAGCCTTTTTATCTTATCAACCTGCTAGTCAACTGCTGAGTGGTCTCTTTTTCCCTCCAAATATGGAGTCCCTAGTCCATCCTGGCACTCAGGATCTGGATTTTCTGTCTTTAAAATCTTGTTCACTACTCCCTTCCCTTATATACATCCTCCCATCTGACTGATCTTCTCACCAGTCCAATTTCAAAGACTTTTTTTCACATCAACACTTACTCTGTCCTTATCAACATGCTTGCTTCTGCCCTTTTCTCCAGATATCTGGATAGGTAGTCACACAATCATCTTCAAGATAAATCACTCTAGTTGCTTTAAGTATGCCACATGGATTTCATATTTCTGTGTAATCTGTTAATAACATGCTTGTATCTCAGAAACGTCACCCATCCTGTAGACATAGAAAGTCCTTAAGAATGTGGTAGTTGTGCCTTTTTATCTCTCTCTCTGGGCTGCCATAACTATAGAATTCTTTTCTTTCAGTGTTGCTGTGTTTATGCTGGTTTTGTTTGTTCCTTCAGTATTTTTGTTTGTTCCTTTAACTTTTCCCTAGAAAAAGTTAAATGTATTCTGGGTATCTAGGATGCATTCGTACTGTGGAAAATTGACTGACAACAGTTATGGGAAATGTGCCCACTGAGAATCCCTGTTTCACATCAGGGGCCAAGGCCATGTAATGAAATAGTGAAGTACTGACACGGCATGTGGCATACAGCAAAGCATAAGTGACGACAGACTTTAAGATAGGAGGCATTAAATTCATACCGTAGGCAGATTACTTTGATTCTTCCAGGTTGGTTCATATAGTGTGGTATAAATAATGATTTTTAGCTTACAGTTTTCTGTTGAAGCTACTTAATCTTGCATAACCATACATGTTTTTATTTAAAGAAATTTAAAAATAGTTAAATTTATGAAGCATTTTATCTTTATGTCAGTCTTCTTAGCACTATAAATAAGCCATAGACTATTTCAGCTGTAAGTTTAATATTAAAGGTACTCAAAGGATATTTTCTTCACATCATTTCTGATGTTCTATTAAAATTGCTCTCTCAAACCTTATAGACTTAACCTCAAAAATGTGATGCCTTCCCCTTATTAGTTATTATACCCTTGTTTTCAGCATGTTATTTGCACAGGGTTGTGGTGCAAGGTGGAAGGGGAGAAAGAATGCAAAACCAAACTAGATCCACCAATGGATGGAACCGATTGTGACATTGGTAAGGTAAGTTATTGGTGGTGCTATCTGAAGTATAAGACTATGAAGTGAAACTTAAGAAGAAACTTACATTTCTCCTATAACAAGTGAGACATTTTCTTCTGCCAGTTATAAAGGTATCTATCTAAACACTAGTAGAGTACTTTTATCATATATAAAAATTTCAGCATTTCATCTGTTTTCAATTTTAACACATGGCTGTTTTTTAAACATCAGCTGTATTTTTTATTGTTGATTATAATGGTGTGGAGAATTGGATATATGTATTACTTTAAAAAATTAAATATTTTTACTATTAAACTTAAATATAAGTATTCACAAATTAATAAAAATAGTAAAATTTCTCAGAGCGAATTAATCCTTTAAAGTATAAAGTATTGTCTTAGGAGAGCCACTGAGTGTAATTTTTCCTTGTCATTTCAATAAATCATGAATAAAATATTCTAATTAACATTTGGGAGATTAGTAAACATTTAACTGTCTTAAGTTGTTAAATGTGTTTCATAAGACTTTAGAAATTTATTAGTATATATTTCCAGAACATTTCAATTGCTGTAAAAATTAATTTTCTTTTACAAATATGAAGGAATTAGATCCTATATAAACTTATAACTAATGTAATCAAAATATAGTACACTAGTTTACATAATTTTCCAGTTTTTATTCTATGAAGGGAAAGTAGAACAGCTATTACTTTGTTCATTAGATGTAAGATCAGAAAACTTGCCTCTGAAGCCTATGAATTTTCATTACATTTGAAACAAATAAACAACATAAAGATTACTTGGGATGAATTACTTAGTGAAAAAAGTTATATAGCTAGTTTAAAAACACATCCACTTGAAACATGGACTAGCAATTACACTTCTAGAATTTTGTCCTAAATAAATTCTTAACATGTGTGCACAAATATAGGCATGTTTGCATGTACACACACATAGAGTTAGGTGAGGATGTCACCTGCTGTGGTGAGAAATAAGAAAAAACGAAATATCCATTGGAAGAGGAATGGTTCCAGTGTGGCTGTTCCCGGAATGAGGTAGATATATCTGTATTAACTTGAAAAGATCTACTAGACGTGGTGGTTAGTATAGAGACATGTCAGAAAAATTCGTACTTTATATGGTACCATTTGAGATTTAGAAAAACAGCAATTTGTGTACAAATGTGAGTATACACACAGAGTTTATATATTTTTAAGCCCATAGAAAGTGGTTTGAAAACATAAATTCCAAATTATAATTAGTAGTTAACTCTTGGGAGGGAGTTGGAATTGATGGATGGAATAAAACAATTGACAATAAGGGTGAATGCAACTTTTCTCCTGACATTTCTGGGTTGTTTGACATAAGCCTGTAGTCATTTATTACTTCTATGATTTCTTTAATAAGAAAAAGAAAAATGTACAAAGTCCCAGATAATAGAAAAGGACTAGAAATATTTTATCACCCAATACAATCAGTAAGAAAACTGGTTCCTTGATGGAGAACTTCTGTGAAATATCAGTCAGTTGTTTACAGACTGCCAAATATGTTTTCTGTGAGCTTATGCAGAGAGTCAGAATTTGGATTTGTTTTAAATTATACACAAAAGTGCAATAATGTGTGTATATTGGGCAAGCCTCATGGTATTATGCTGAGTAATTTATTGCTTGAGTCATAAAACTCTGCACCAGCAATAATTTTCATCATCCCTGAAACACGAAAGCGGTAATAAACAGAGAGAACCAAATATTCAGCCACACGTCTGCAGACATCACACAGTCCATTTGTGTTACCTAGTTCTTCATTAGCAATTTAAAATCCGTTCATTTTTATAATCTGGTGTCTTAAATATTTTTCTATTGTTTTTTTCTTCCCATAGTTATGAGAATAAATGGCATTCTTGAGTTCTCTAAGATAAACTTACTCTTTCAGCAATCAAAACTGTAATTATTCATTAAAAATCAATGTTTCATTTCCCTATAATTGTGCTAATGATATTCTCAGTGGTTCTGTAATGTTTTGTATATTGAAATAACTAATGAACTTCTCAGTTCCTCAGGCCAAGTGGGCTTTTTCAACTCTCCATCTGTTCCAGCTGTTGTGAGAGCCATCATGAAAATAGCTTCCAACATTCTGTAATTGAGGGCTATAGGGCTAAAATATTTGGGTGCTTGCAACCTCGTGCTGAACACTGCTAGCTCAGTACATGGCAATCCGAGAAACAAAGCTGAGAATTTTGTAATGTGTTACACTCTAGTGATGTTAACTGAGCTGTATAACTAGTTCACCTAAGAGTATATAATTAAGTCTGAGAAGGTGTCAAGAAGAATTTTGTGATTCATAGTTATCTACTATTTATACACGGCCTTTTCCAAATTAAAAGCAGCCTGTTTTCTTTCTTCTCCTTTTCTCTTTATAATACTGGCATCTGTGTTTACATTTATATTAACAGAGGTCTGTGAGTTGATAAATGATTTGATTAAAACCAAGAAATGTATGTCTTTTACTTGAAATATTTTCTCGGAATGGGAGGATGGAGAAGGAAAGCTAAATACCAAGTGACTAAAATATTAGACTGTTTTGAAGGATGCTGCCTAATATATTTTAATTATTTACTTTCCTAATTTCTTAAGTGATGAAATTATTGTCATCATGCTTTATTGAAGAAATGAAGATTGTAATATCCTTAGTCACAAATTTACATAAGGAGACAGTTTATTGCCTTCTTTCTTCCTCTTATTTCATCTAACAATATATATACAAGAGGATTTAATTAGACAATAATATTTCCTTTGTCATTTTCAAGAACCTCTTCCAATTGGGTGTTTTCTTCAACTTCCTAGGCATATTCACATAGAAATTAGAGAGAATAGAAATATAGTCAAACTTTTTTAGGTCATGTACTATCTCAGAAAGAATCTATATTATGAATTTCCTTAGCATTTTCATAGATCATACTGAATTATTCAATATGAGAAATGTTGAGTTCTTTAAACCTTGTGTAATACGTTTTTTGGAACTAAAATATACGAATGAAACAAAACATGCTGCTAAAAAATTCATGAAAAGCATTAGGATCATTTTGCATATAAACCCAATAGAATATATTGTATAATAATTAAGCAAAGCACTTAAAACTTTCCCCAGTGTTGAAACAAAGCTCCACCTAGAAGACACAAAAGCAGGTTTTCCATAGTTTCACTCAGAGAGTTTGTTATCTGAAGTTAATGGACTTTAACTATTATACTATGCTTTCTTTAAATTTCACCAATTTCGGGATGCAAGTTTAGCTTGTATATCTGTTTCCATTTCTCTTCATCTGCCAGTCGTGTCTAGTTTAAATGACATGCAAGTCTAGATCTGGGTCTTTCCCAGAATATTTTTAGTTCACTGTGAACTCTCGCCCAGCCTTTCAATGCCAGCTTACCACTAAATGGGCGAGGAGCTGTGATACGCTCTTGGGGGGTAAAAATAAATACCCTTCATGTAGGTCAAATCTACTTGACCAGTTGAAGTTTGGCAGGGTTCACTTTGAGGGTTTTTTTTTTTCCCCCCTATGAATGGCACATCATTAAATCCCTAAAACCAGTAAGTTATTTCAAAGTTTTCACAAGGTCTGCTTTTTCCCCCCTTTACAATATTCAGGCTGAATCTTCCTATTAAAATCTCAGTTTATTTAATGTCAACCTTACCATATCATTATACTCTGAGTTATTGAGGTTTTGTTTTGTTTCTTCCCAAGCCTGGATGTAAAACTCTTTGAATCTGAAAGAGATTGAATTTTGTTTTAATTTTATTGAAATATAGTTGATTTACAATGTTGTCTTAGTTTCATGTATACAGAAAAGTGATTCAGTTATTACATATACATGTATCTGTTCTATTTTAGATTCTGTTCCCCTTATAGATCATTACAAAGCACTAGTAGAGTTCCCTAAATTTCACATTATTAGAGAAAATCTTCAGGAACTATTTATTACATAGAAAAGCACTAACTGGGCTCACACAAAGCTTTATAGCATAGTTTTATAAATTCTTCTAGAAACTGCATTTAAACACGTATTTTCAAAATAAGTTTTAAAAAAACAGATCATTTAAAATCATAATAGAATTTTGGTGAGATTTCTGGAAACTTATTGATAAAATTAATATAATGATATATAATTTGGTTTTATTAGTATTTTTATTTTGGTTAATCTTTATTAAATCGTCAGCATGGGCTATGCATTGTGCTTAGTTTCATTCAACCTCTGCTAAGTCTATTAGTTATATATGATTTTCATTCATATTTTGAGATGGGAAAACTGAGGATCAGAGAATTGCTATGATTTCTTCAAAATCCCTTATAAATCATGTTGCCACTGGTACAGAAAATTATTTAGAACTAGTATGATCATCTTGCTCAACCCTTGTCATTATACAATCACTTATCTAAATTTTTTAATCTTATCTCCAACATGGTTATGTTCAGTTAATTTTTACCTTTAATATCTTTGCTGTGATCATGATAGATCTGATTTTCCAGGAAAAAGGAGAAATTATTGTGGCTCAGCTGGTAAAGGATCCCCCTGCAATGCAGGAGACCTGGCTTCCATTCTTGAGTTGGGAAGATGCCCCCAAGAAGGGAAGGGCTACCCACTCTAGAATTCTGGCCTGCAGAATTCCATGATCTGAATAGTCCATGGGGTCGCAAAGAGTTGAACATGACTGAGTGACTTAAAAAAAAAAAAAAGAAGAAATTATAATAATCTCTCCATCAAATTCTGGCTAACATTCCTCAGTGACCACAAAAAAAAAAAAATTCTTTGGCTGCTTTTGTTTAAAATTAATGACAAAATAAATATAAAAAGAAAAATGAACACACTGCTTTCTCTTCTGTCATTGCTGTCTTTTTCATGATGGAAACTTAGGGGGAAAAAAAGAAAAAGCAATGTAAATGAAAGTGCTAAAAGTGAGTCATGTGCTTTGTTTCTGATTACAAGGAGAGAGAGAGTACCCTGAAACACTGACATTTCAAATAAAAATGGCTGGATTTGCTAAAATGTCTGCTTCATTCTAGTCAAAGACATTTATAAATGTCTTTACCTCCATTTATATTGCCTGCATTTATATCTTACCTACAAAATATGAATCTATTTTTTCATTCTTCTCTATTAAATTTTTGTTTTTCCTAGAGCATGTTAGTTTTTCTTTCCTGGCTGTACAACCCCCACTCCCCCATTCGCCCTGCCTCTGTCACAAGCACTACATTCTCAGGGCTATAGTACAGACCGGTGTGCTATTTTTGTGACAAGACTGTGTGACCTGACATGAAAACTGGGAAAACTGGGCCAGTGAATTATTACTATGACATTAAGCACGTGCCAACTAATTTTTGGTCTTTTTCAATTCCACACGTTTGGGGCTTTAGCTGACCTGATTTAATCGCAATTCCAGTGACTCGATAGGCCAGTGAATGATTTTCCATTGTGCCCTGATTTGTTCACCTAAGACATAACTTTTGGAATAGTGGTGTAAGGCTGGAGAGTGTGCCAGCAGGACCGCAGCACCCGGACTTGCGGCTGGAGAGTGGAGCATGTGGAGTCCCTGCAGCCGAACCTGCAGTTCTGGGATCAGCAGTCGAGAGCGCAAGTGTCCTGGGTAAACGCAACATTCCTGGGTTGGGGGAGGGCGTTGTTTTCTTCAAGTCTGAAATAAAAAGGTTTTACTGATAAACCATGTCAGGGACCAAAGACACTTCTTCAAACCCAGTCCACTTTGGAAGACAGAAAAGTCTCTCAAATTATTTTGTGTAAGAACTCCCTTTGAAGAAGAAAATAAGACCAACCCTCCTAAGAGCAAATAGTTAACCACTACACAGGTTGTTTTCTTGGGAATAAATCAAATAAAAAAACTGTGTTGACCCAAGCAGGGAGACATGTTAGGAAAAGTAAGTCACCGTTGAAAAGATCCATGAGAGGAACCAGTAGCTGAGAGGACTTCAGAAAGAGAGAGAATGAGGGCAACATGAATGTCAGTCCTAGCTGAGAATGCTGAGAAAGGGAACCCTGCTGAGCGTGTGTACAGACAGGGAGCATCCAAGATCAGCTTGTGTGACTCCATCATTCCTAGTGTGATCCTAGGAAATGTGTGAGAAAGTCATTCACTTTTATGCTTTGACTTTGGTGTGGATTCAGTGGCCCAATTCCTCGGCAGATGATGTTAAAAAAATGTGTGTGAAAACCTTAGAAGCATCTCCTTAGAGTTTCTTGGCTACACTCCTTCCATGGGAGTGTATTTTGCCCCCAGCTTCTGTCCTTTACCCTCCTATATCATTTTCATAGCAAACAGACTTTTGTTTCTCCTGTATTTTGGAAATTAAATGGATCAAAGATTAGAAAAAAATTAACATTTTAAAATAAGCATATGGATTTCCTACAGTTACTAATCATTTAATCTGTCCACATTTTCAAAAGTAGGTTTAATAGGAAGGATTATCCCTTATTAATACAATGCCTTTTGATTTTTTTTTAATGAGTAGTTAACATAAAATAAGATAAAATTGATTATTTGTACTATCTTTTCTAGGCTAGGTTCTGAAGCAAGGGATTGTAATGGTCCCAGAAAACAATACAGAATATGTGAGAATCCACCTTGTCCTGCAGGTTTGCCTGGATTCAGAGACTGGCAATGTCAGGCCTATAGTGTTAGAACTTCGTACCCAAAGCATGTACTTCAGTGGCACGCTGTCATGGATGAAGGTATGACCAACCAGATCGCCACCATCTTAATTAAGCAGAAGTCTAGGTTTGCAAAGTGCTTTACAATAATGGTAAATGTTGTTTTGTAGTTTATATTATAGGTATTTCAAAATTCTGCTTTTTCTGCCTTTATGACATGCCTTGGATGGCAAGAAATCTGCCTGCAACGTGGGAGGCCCACGTTCAATCCCCGGGGCGGGAAGATCCCCTGGAGGAGGGCATGGCAACCCACTCCAGTGTTCTAGCCCAGAGAGTCCCGTGGACAGAGGAGCCTGGCGGGCTACAGTCCATGGGGTTGCAAAGAGTTAGACTTGACTGAGTGACTAACACCTTCACTTTTGTGACATACAATAACCACGAGCACTAACTAAAAGTATGTTTTTTAAACATGGAGGTATTATTATACACAAACAATTTTAAAAGTGTGACAGTACAAAATGCTGGTTAGGATGAAGACAAAAGATCTCTCATGCATTGCTGGTAAGGTAAAATGGTGCAGCCGCTCTGAAAATTAGCTTGGCAGTGTCTCAAATAACAAAGCATGCACGTTAGAAAACGCAGTCATGGTTATTTATCTCAGAGAAATAAAAATTTACAACCACAAGAAAATGCTGTACATGAGCACACATAGCAGTTTTATTTTCAATAGCCAGAAACTTGAAGCAATCAAAAAGGTCTGAGTAGCTGCAGGATTAGCAAACAAAGGTTTATCCATGCCGTAGGATGTTACACGGCAGTACGCGGAACACACTGTTAATGTAGGCGGTGACCTGGTGGATGTCAGAACGTTATGCAGAGTAGACAAGCCAATCTCAAAATGCCACATGCTGTATGATTCCTATTTTATAACATGCTTGAAATCACAATAGCATAGGGATGGAGAACAGATGAGCCGTTGCCGGGAGTTGGGGGTGGTGGTGGGAGAGGGACGGAGGCTCCTGTAGCAGGCTGGCACAGGGTAGAACTCATGTTCAGTTGCTCAGTCATGTCCTACTCTTTGGAAGCCTGTGGACTACTGTGTAGCCCACCAGGCTTCTCTGTCCATGGGTTTTTCCAGTCAAGAATACTGGAGTGAGTGCCATTTCCTTTTCCAGGGGATCTTCCCGACTCAGGGGTCCAACCTGAGTCTCTAGCATCTCCTGCATTGGCAGATGGATTCTTTACCGTTGAGTCACCTGGGAAACCCCAACTAGAGATCTTTATATAAAATGCAGATTGGTTCATATCGCTTTCCCACCTTAAGCATTTCAGGTCCTTCCCATAAGTCTTCAGGTAAAAACCAAATTGCACAACATGGCACGCTCAACAAGACCTTCCTTTGTCTGATTCCTTCTCTTGTCTTCTGCCTCGTCTAAGACCTCACTCTCTTTCTCTTTGTGCTCCGAATACTGCCCTTGTTCCACTGCTTCAAACATATCCTGCTTTCTTCCCCAACGCATAGCTTCTAAATGTACTATTTCTTCGGTTGAGAGAAAAGAATAACACAGCCTTCTAGTCCTACCATCCTTTTAATAAAAGTTAATTCTGTATTCACAGATGCTTTGACCACAAACTTTGGGTCCTCCCTTTCCTTTATGTTCTCTTTTACGATGCCTTTGAAATATCAGTAAAGTCACATTATTCCTGTCTTTAAAATACATCCAGAATCTCATGATTGCCCAATATCTCCAGACCTGACCTCCTGATATAAGCCTCTGTGTCTTACCTGTGTGTTTATAGTAGGCGTCTAAGTGTTCTTTATGTTTGTGTCCCCGTATCTCCTTCAGTCTCAATCATGGCCAGAAGGACACATTTAAAATATCAGTCATGTCACCTTATTCTTCCATTTTGAAAGCAACAGAATGAGTTTTCCCAACTCACTAAAGGTCCAAAGCCCTTCTAACAGCCTATGAGGGCCTTCCTCCCTGGCTTCCTGTTACACTGTTGCTGAACTGACCACCACACCCTCCCACGCAGCTGGCTCCCTTGCCCTCCCTAGAATAAGTCCAGGGCTTTTCTGTCTTAGTGTCTTGGAAAGTGTTGTTTTTGCTGGTGACTCCTTCCGGTCTTTTCTTAAATACTGACTCAATACTTTTCAATACCCTGCCTTATTCTTTTTTTCACATAACCTATAGTGATTTGTCATAATATTTTTATTAGTTTATGCTCCCCCAATAATGATTGTAAGAGCAAGACTTGTATTTTATGCATTTCTCTGTCTTTAGCTCTGTAAACAGTGCCTGAGCAGAGTAGACAATAAATATTAAGTGAAAAGAATAGTGTCTCTTATGGGAAGTGACCTATCCTGGTCCCTCTTCTCACTGAATGTTCCTCTTGGGATGATCTTACTTATTCACTAGGTTTTATTTATCATCCAAATGCTAAAGGAACACAGGCATTTATCTCCAACCAGATCTGTCTGTCCTGAGCTCCTTAGCTGTTTACCTGTATGTTGCATGAACTTCTCACTTAACACCCCGTTCATCTCTAACTCAGCATGATTCAAGTTGAACATATCCCTTCCTCTGTTCCTGTCTCTCACTCCCACCATCTGCTCCTCTTACTATTCTCTCTCATGGAGAATAACATCATGATTTGCCTCATTACCAGGCTCAGCTGAAATCCTTCTGCCTTAATCTCCATCTGCCTGTAATCAATAAGCAAACCCCATTTGTCCAAACCTCTTTGTTTGCCAGCATCTTTGTTCACGATTGCACCATCTCTGACCTGGATTCTTCAAACAGCTTTCTCACTGTTTCTCTGACTCTCCTCCAGCTCCTCCTCCTCATTTCAGCCAGGCTGGCCTTTTTGAAGTTCAGAACTGTTGGTCCGTGTGCCAGTGAGTCCCCTTCCATGAGTCCCGTTGCTGTCAGGACCAGTCTCAAACTTTATTGCCTGGTTCAGAGGGCCGTTCTTACGGCCTGTCCCCTCTAACTTCTCTGGCCTCACTTCCGTCTCCAGCACAACCAGGCTGAATTTCATTGTATCCCTCATATACACCATGTTTTCTTATTTCTGGACTTGTGAACGTGCAAGTTTCTTGGCATGATATGCTTTCTTTCTCAAAGTTTAACCTCTTTCCCCTTTTATTTACCTTGAAAACTTCTTCTGATGTTTTGGACTCAGTTTATGTCAAGTACTCCAGGAAAAAAGAATACCTTTGGTCTTCGATGTTGGATATGTATGTACCCCTTGCAGGTACTCCAGCAGACCATGCTGTCGCAGATTTAAATGTCTCTATTCCCACTGTTGTCTGTGCCTAGTGTACTGCCTGGCAATTATTAAGCTTCTGATGAATATTTGCTGCATAATATTTAAATATCTTCGGTTGACGTAAAAGTTCATTCTTGTTCCTGAACAAACTTTTTGGCCAGCCCAACAGTATTTTTCTCTGTAAAAATAAAATCAGTATGACAATTCATGAAAATCATCATCTGATCTTGGGTTAATCCTATCTCTGCCTCTAACTGGCTGTGCAATTTGATAATATTTAATTCATTTGAAACCTGTTTACCCATGTGAAATAAGAAACAAAAAACAGGTTCCTTCCAGATTAAAAAAAAAAGGTGAGGGGGAAATTCCCTGGTGGTCCAGTAGTTAGGATTCTAAACTTCCACTGCACGGGACATAGGTTTAGTCCCTAGTTGGGGAGCTAAGATCCCACAAGCCAAGTGGTACAGCCAAAAAAAAAAAAAAAAATCAGAGTTGTATGAGGATCAATTTAAAATATCAAAGCTCTTATAAAGTGTTGTGTATCATCAGAATGATCTATAATAGATATATCATTAGCAGGGTAGCACTTCTGATAATTTTGCAAAATGTACTAATCAAACACATCAGTCTATGATGAATAATACACAATGGTTTTTATGTATTAGAGCAGTATGGAAAAAAAATGAAATATATAGGTCTTATAAAAATGCCCAAGTCTTTGGCACTTGAGTGTGGGAGTGGCCATCTCTGGCTAGAAGAATTAAATATAAGGTATCAATACAGTAGTGAACATTTATTTTTAGAGGGAAAAAAAGATGCATGGCTTTAGCATTCAGGTATTTTGCATGCTCTGTGCTGAAATTTGGCTGATATCCATGTTTAATGCATATCTTGGAAAGGGTTGATCTCTTAAATCAAGACAGAGCCTGCCTGCCAAGTACTGGCATGTTACATGGATCACTATAATGTCACAATCTCAAGGGTACACTCCAGGAAGGAAGATTGGTATCAAATGTTTATGTCATCTATAAAGCTAAAGTAAGTACAGTCAATTGACAGTATGTTGTAAAAGGAGAAATACAAAGATTTTTATCTGATTTCATGCTTAGAATGTGAATGAAATTTTTTAGGCTAATTCCTTTCGACATTATTCATATATCTGGTTTGCTACTCTCTTCAATGTAGACTCCAGAAAGAGAATTATACACACACACACACACACACACACACACACACACACATATATATATTAGTATTAAAGTGCTGCAATCACAGCAGCTGTTTTTAAGTCCAAAGATATGACATAGTAAGCAGTCATTGAATAAACATAACCTACTTTGAGGTGTGAGAGCACATTGAAATGCTTTATTGCAGCTTATAATGGCATCTTAAAGGAAAATTTCAAAACCATGCACATTAAAGGCCATGTTCCAACTCCCCAAAATTGTTCAGAGCAGTATTCAGAAGCCACATGTGAAAACTGTTTGAAATGTTCAATTCTGAAGGCTCATTTAACTGTCTGTCTTCTCTTTGCCAAGTGATACCCTGTTCCATGCCTCTGGCTGTTATTTGGTATTTATAGAATCCCATCAGCATACGTGGAACTTTACTGAAGACATAAGCAAAGATCAGTGTCAGAGACTGTAAACTATTTTCCATTCTATTTATATGAGCTTAATAAACAGTAAAGGGCCTGACTGGTGTCAGGCCAATAGAGTAGTAATGTAGCCTGGAAATTGCTCTGAAGTTTCAGATTTGGATAATCTTACTACTGGTGTTACCAAATACTAGAGCTCCTCTGCAGAATACTTAGAAATAGAAACAGCACTTTAAAAAATATTATGCCACTCTTGGACTGAGCCTGAAAGTCAAGTTTTTTTACTCTACTCACCCTCCTTTACTGCTTAAGGAAGCTCTGAAGAAGATTGCCAGCCATTCAAGAATTCTTTACCTAGAACAGTAAGTCAGCCTAGTCATCATCCATCCCAACATGCTCTCTGAGCAAACAGTAAAGAGGATTGACTGCTAGCTGGCACTTCAGCAGTTGGGTATTCCAGTGCATGTTCTCATGGGACTGTATTGCATTTCTAAACATCCTCACAATGGAAAATCTTATAAGAATTGTTCATCTTAGAAGCTCTTCTTTCTCCCTTTAGTAATTTTTCTCTTAGAAATTGCCAAATACATAGGATTGAAAATTAGTGTGTTGGAATTTTGAAGTAAGACGTCAAGAAAAGCTTCGTGAATAAAATAAATCTTAAATAAGCAGAAATTGGATATGTTCTTATAATTAAAAGGGGTTCATGCCAAAAGATATAAGCAGAAAATGGGAGTGTGCAAAATATTTTTCACAAAGAATACTTGGTCTGTGTGTAGTAGAGATTTAGTGCCAAAAATAATAAGTGATACACTTAAAAATAATTTGAAGACACAATTCTTAAGAAGTAGGTTAATATTCATTGGGTACCTGTTTTTTCCCCAGGCATCATCTCATTTACTACTCATAATAACCCTCTAGTATTGTCTACTCTAGTAGTACATTACTTATTTAACATATTATATTTTTTACTCAAAACGGTTTTGAAAAATAAAGCTTGAGATAAAAATACTTATGGATCAACTTTTGTTCATTTCTTTTTATCCACTCTGCATGTAGAAAAGCCATGTGCCTTGTTTTGTTCTCCTATTGGAAAAGAACAGCCTATTCTTCTATCAGAAAAAGTGTTGGATGGAACTTCTTGTGGATATCAGGGATTAGATGTCTGTGCAAATGGCAGGTGTCAGGTAAGACTTTCCAGAAGGGTGTGTCTGCACTGAGGGAGGCTTGGGGGACCTTGGAGCAGCTGCACAGTATGCTGGAAAGCTCTGTACTGAGATTCAAAAGATTTGAATGTAGTCCTGCCTCAACTGTGACCTTCAGCAAGTATGATCAACTTTGAAGTCCATTCTGTAATCTGTATAGTGAAGGGTTCAGACTGGAAAATCTATAATGTCCATTTCTAGTTGAAAGAATCTGACATATTTATTCAATAATGTATGTATTACAAGCCTGAAATTATGACACTTTGGGCATTTTATGTCAACATATTCCAGACCAAAAACTCAAGCACTCCAGTTTTCCATGTCTTGTGCCCAAGACTGAGCCATGTGGCAAAAACCTATAAGATCAGTCTTATTATTCATTAATGTTAAAATATTATCAATATTCTTGTATCAGCTGATTTTTAAATGTATATTCAATTTTTATTATACTTAAACATTTCATATGTCTTTTTGTTTTTAAAAATAATTTCCATCTGTTGTACGCATTTATGTGCTCTTCTTTATCGTTAGAAAATCAGTCATTCTGTTCAGATAAATAGCATAGTGGAAAGATTAATGGCTAAAGCTCTGAATTTTGCCAGTTTCGGGTCTGCCGCTATCACAGTTGCCTTATCCCTGGATGATAAATATGCAGGAAATTTAATGCCAAGTGTTTTCATGATCAGTGTGTGTATAGAGGGGGAGGAGGCAGGACTGGGCACAGGGAGCCGTTGGGCTGGCACATCACAAGGCCTCAGCTGGCTTCATGAGGGCGTTGTAGCTGGGATGGCTCTTCAAAGGTGTCTCCATCGGGCGAGAAAAGCAGACCTTTTTAACGCCTATTGTCTACTAGTGTTTGGATACAAGCTGCCCCAGGGGATGAGGGGGCTCGGACCTTGGGAAAGGCAGTTTTCTTTAGGCTAGGCATTTTCTGAAAAGGGATGCAGGCTAAGAGCCATAAGCTGATGCATTTCCCAGGTGTGGGAGGAGAATGTGCATCCTTTAGTAATGAAAGAGGTATCTGAGCAGAGCAACACTCAGAATCCATGACTGCCACTAGGAAACTGTTCTTGGGAAAATCACTTAAAATATGTGTACATCCATTAACTAATCTGTAAAATGAAATAGGCCAGTGGTCATTGACTTTTTTGTATAATACACGCCTCTGAGAATTTGATGAAAGTTTTGGTTTCTTCCTCTAAAAATGCATGCCTGACCACACAAGCACACACACACACCAAAATTTGAAAACAGTTACAAAGTATGGATGGATCAGTCTGTGGTCCAATCGAAGTATATAGACTTCTGGGTACAAACTTGGAAACAATCTGAAACTTAAATGGTTTACCAGCTCTTAGATTCTTTATTTTGCCAGCATGCTATAATGTTTAAAGCATAGAATCATGCGATATAATTGGATATAAGAAACACTCTTATAATTACATATTAATTCCCTTTATTAAAGAGTATATGGCAGTAGCCTGGAATACATTTTTCATTTGTTTAAAAATCATTACAGTTATTTACCTATAAACATTTGGTTTTCAGAGCTCTGTGTTGTGCAGTTAAAACTTTCATCTTTATTTCATCTTTTTATGTAAATGTCAGATTAGTATGACTTAAATGAGTTTGTTTTTCAAAGAAAATTATTTTTCCAACTATATGCCAAATACAATAGCTTACATTGGTATGCTTTTCACTTAACATATTGTGTAAGCCAGACCTTTTATAGAGTCCCTAATTGGACATTAAAATAACAGCTACAACAACACAAAATTCTGTGTGTTATGTGAGTCTGATGATTGTACTTAAAGTTCTGTGAAGTGGATTGTGACTTCTGATAGCTTTGGAATACTTCACCATTCTGGCTTTTAACTAAAATGCTTCATTCAGACTTTTAATATAATTAAAAACATGCTTCCTTTTTTTCTTTCTGACAACTCTATATACTGGGTTTGGCAGGAGTGCTTTGTTTTATCCTAAAATATACGACATTGAAGTTGAAAGTAAATTTCTAAACTTGATGAGTAGACTAAGGAGAGCAATTGGAAGTATACAACTTTCTCCTGGTGACCCAGTTGGCCTGCCTGGCGTTTATATCCTGGAAAAGCATAGAGAAAGCGGTCTTTTGTATTATTGTGGTATTACCCTATCTTCAGCTACCGGTGGTGCTTCAGGCACCTACCACCAGTTAAACAGTGTTGTCTTTTCCAAGACATTTATCCTCAATTTTTGGAGTTATATGGGCATATTTTGAAAAGTCTGGCTACTTGTGACTACCGATTACAAAATGTGGATTTTTTTCATCCTTATTTTAAATATACATGTTGTTGAGCCATGACATGATGTCTATCCCTGCCTTTTATTTTAGGTTTTAGAAACATATACTGTCCCAGTTACAAGGGTTACAAAAAGCTAGCAGACAACTGTCATTTATTCAATCATTTAACTACTCTTTTTATTTACCTATAAACATTTGGTTTTCAGAGCTCTGTGTTGTGCAGTTAAAACTTTCATCTTTATTTCATCTTTTTATGTAAATGTCAGATTAGTATGACTTAAATGAGTTTGTTTTTCAAAGAAAATTATTTTTCCAACTATATGCCAAATACAATAGCTTACATTGGTATGCTTTTCACTTAACATATTGTGTAAGCCAGACCTTTTATAGAGTCCCTAATTGGACATTAAAATAACAGCTACAACAACACAAAATTCTGTGTGTTATGTGAGTCTGATGATTGTACTTAAAGTTCTGTGAAGTGGATTGTGACTTCTGATAGCTTTGGAATACTTCACCATTCTGGCTTTTAACTAAAATGCTTCATTCAGACTTTTAATATAATTAAAAACATGCTTCCTTTTTTTCTTTCTGACAACTCTATATACTGGGTTTGGCAGGAGTGCTTTGTTTTATCCTAAAATATACGACATTGAAGTTGAAAGTAAATTTCTAAACTTGATGAGTAGACTAAGGAGAGCAATTGGAAGTATACAACTTTCTCCTGGTGACCCAGTTGGCCTGCCTGGCGTTTATATCCTGGAAAAGCATAGAGAAAGCGGTCTTTTGTATTATTGTGGTATTACCCTATCTTCAGCTACCGGTGGTGCTTCAGGCACCTACCACCAGTTAAACAGTGTTGTCTTTTCCAAGACATTTATCCTCAATTTTTGGAGTTATATGGGCATATTTTGAAAAGTCTGGCTACTTGTGACTACCGATTACAAAATGTGGATTTTTTTCATCCTTATTTTAAATATACATGTTGTTGAGCCATGACATGATGTCTATCCCTGCCTTTTATTTTAGGTTTTAGAAACATATACTGTCCCAGTTACAAGGGTTACAAAAAGCTAGCAGACAACTGTCATTTATTCAATCATTTAACTACTCTTTATTGAGTTTATTGTATTTACCAAGAAAGAAGCTAGGTGCTGTGGATAGAATAATAAAGGTGCTTTCTGTCATTTCAGAACCACTCTAGCCTCTCAGTTTCTCCCCATTTGTACGTGAAGGAGAGACTTTTAATCCCAGGGCTCTCTGGGCTTTTCATGGCTCTGGCTTAGGGAACTCTTCCCATGGCTTTGTTGTATTTTGAGGATTTCCCGTGGTGGCCACCTCTTTCATCCAGAATCATTCTCTTTGTTTCTTCCCAAATAAGCTTTGATTCGCTGATCAGAGTTCACTACTGAATTGCTTTGACTACTTCTTGACACTGATATACCCCCCTTGACAAAAAGAAAGGATACTTTTTTTTCTGCAAGTTTAATGTGATTTTTTGCTTTCTCGGGATATCCATCCTGCAGCTGTGTTTTCTAATCAGCTTCTTCCCCCACCCAACACCAACCACAGAAAAAGACCCTGGTTTTGTTTCTGTTTTACCTGATACTTTAAAATTTTATTTGAGTAATTGTAACTTGTTATAAATGGATGTATCATCAGTCAGTTTTGCAGCTTCTTCTTGATCAGGGGTAATGGTGTAATTCTACCATTTATTTCAGCTACCACCAACATATTAACTTATATCCTTTGAGTATGCACAACTTTGTAAAATATCGTCTTTTCTGAATATCTGAGAGACCCACATTATTCACTAGAAAAGAGTCAATGTTTTAATCTAAGAAGATGCATAGTTAACATAGTTAACATTAACATAGTTCTTCTGGGATCATATAAAATTAATTATCCCAGTTAATATTTTCTTATAGCAAACATAGGTTATAAGCAGTTCTTGCTCACTTGTGTTAAGATTCCAAAGAAGGTGGGGAATGGAAATTTATTCATGAACTATGATGAGTGTAAACATTTATGTTTGGTTTACACAAGTTAATATTTAATATTCAGCATTTATTCAGCAACCTCTTTAGGAGTAAAGCCAACCATATGGTGAAACCCATCTGTTCTGTGCTGAGCAGAATGAATTCGATCAGTCATGTCACATTTAGTAGAAATGTGATTTCTTTTGGGATTTATGTAAATTCCTTTTGTTTCAATAAGATTTTTCCAAATTACTTTAGGATGTTATTTAATTTTTAATATAAGAAAATATACTTTTATCACTGTCCTACTATTTGGTCACTTTACAAATGATATTATTTGATATGAGCTTGCTATATTAGTTTGCACCAGTGAATGTGGAGTTTTACTAGTTCGTCAAATAAATATGTCTAGTTTGTAGACCAGGCTTGCTATATTAGTTTGCACCAGTGAATGTGGAGTTTTACTAGTTTGTCAAATAAATATGTCTATTGTAGGCTAGGCTTGTCCTGAAGTAGTCATTAAAAAAGAAAAAGCTCACTTTATGATGTACTGTCATTCTCTTGTTGCAGAAAGTTGGCTGTGATGGTTTATTAGGGTCTCTTGCAAGGGAAGATCATTGTGGTGTGTGCAATGGCAATGGAAAATCATGCAAAATCATTAAAGGAGATTTTAATCACACCAGAGGAGCAGGTGATTATTTTTTTTTCAAAATTTCTAATCCAAACAGTCTTTGGGGACAGAAATTACTTTGCACTTGACTTAGAAATCACATTTCTGATTGTTGAAGACTTTTGTAATGGGTATTGAATGATTTTTCATGATGACATATAATACATGTGATATGAGCCAGAAATGCTAACAAGCCCATTTCCCAATACTGAGAATATGAAATCATCTGTTGTGCATTTAATAAATTGGAGCAGCAAGGGAATAATCTAATTTGCATTGGCTAATATTATCAGATTTCTACAGACCTTATCCTCCAATGCATGGTATTGATGTCTAACAGAGAATAATGATTTCTAACAGCCTGAAGCAACCATTGAGAGTATTAGTCTTCAGGTTTTCAGCTTTCCTTTTTTTTTTTTTTTATTATTTTCTTAATCTGTTTACTAAGTTCAAAAGAAATACATTTTTGAAAGCAGTCTGTAGCAGTGTAGCATGTTGGAAACTATAACAGGAAATCAGAAGATGTGGGCTGATATTCCAGATATATTAAGAGCAGGAACACATATTTTCTTGTTTTCTTTCCTCATCTATAAACACTCATAGGGGATATGAGGATGAGCAGACAGTGAATGATCTATGTAGTGTGAATTTTAAAGTGATCCACAGCAAAAAGTGATATTATCTGTACTGAAATATAATGACTCACAAGTAAGCTTTATATACAGAAAATGCTTTAAACTCCAGCCTTCAAGTTTACTGGGAGGAAGCAAATATTTTATGTTTACATTAGTGTCTTACCTGGACATCTGTTTATTGAACTACCTTAGTATTTATGATAGATTTTCATTGTCATTTATATGCTTATACTACATACATTGACTTTTTTCCTGTTTTAAATTTCTTGTTCAGAAACTGAAAGATGTACCCCCAAAATATATATTTTAATATGAAGAATAAGCCATTTATATTTGAATAGTCAGGAAAACTGAGTTCATGCTAGATTTTTTAAACCCCTAAGAAGAGAAAATTAGACACAGCCCTCAAATATATAACCTTTCTCTTGGCCCCAGCAGAATAAAAGATAAGTGAGCTTGAAGAACTTGAAGCCTAAAAATAACTAAGGCCCAGGGTAAATTGCAGATCAAAATCTCAATCTCCGAAGTTGTGAAAAAAAAGGTGAGAGGTCCTGCAAGTCAAAATCTGTCAGAACTCATTTAGAAAAGTCAGGCAAAGCTGTAAAAGGCTCCCAGACTTCCAGCTAAGAAGTACAGTCATAATAAGCTTTTCAGCCTGATTGTGATGAGAGATGTTTTTATCATGAAAAAGTTAAAATGATGTCTGAAGAGATTTAAAGATACTAGAACTTTTGAAGCCTATTCATGCATAATTGTTTACCTGCATAGAGACAGTTCACCGAGGAATACTGATGTATATTCAGCACTGGTAGTTTTTGTTTAGTAATAATAACACTTAATTTTTCAACTAAACTTAGACAACAGAAATTGCAGTTAAAAACCAGTAATGCTGTTCATTCTGACTACAGTTAGATGAATACATTCCTCCCCCACCCCCAATTTTTACTTCAAATCTCCTTTGTTTTATTACACTTTTAATTTCTACTTTTGTTTTATTAGTTTCTAAATTATATTAACAACCTCTGATATTTGGAAGATATCTAAAATGCCTACAATATTGGGAATATCAGAGACTAATACTGTTATTTCCTTACAAAAATCTGTGATGCTTGTAGTACTATGCTAGTTTAACACTGTTCACGGAAGAAACTAGAATTCTTAACTTGAACCATAAGGCCTTGTGTGGTGGTGTTCCTACTTGTCTCTCTGGTATCAACTCTGCCAAGGTCACTTTCCTACTCTAAGCTGCAACCAATAGATTTGTTACAGGTGCTCAAGCTGACCATGCTCTCTCTAGCACCTTGCATTTAAAAATATTTTGATCTTTCCTTTCCTACTATACTTTAAAGATCAGTGAGGAAAAATATCATGGCTATTTTTTGTTCAATACCCTAGTCCTAATGACCAACATAGTGTGTGATTCATTAACATTTGTTAGCATAATGAATAATGAAACATTACATCATTAAGAACTTAAAAAACAAAAATCTGTATGAGTCCTTAATTATGCTGTGGGCTTCATCTACTTGTGACTTTAGGAATGCTGTATTCATTTCTCTTGAGACAGTTTTATCCTTATAGCTTATGGACTTCCTAGAATTTCTTGAAGGAATTGCAGCCCTATTTTGGTCCAGTTGGCCATACGCACTGTATATATTGTATGAGTAACACATGTGCAGACACATGTGGGTGTTTTCAGTCCCGGTGCTCTGTTCAGAGTTTGCTAAATCATTTTTGTTGGAGCTAGAAAATCAACTTAAGAGAATTTTTGTTCCTTAGCACATATATAATGTATTTCATCTTAATTTGCCTGGACAGGGGTTGATTTGTTAAGGGATTTTTAAAGGTAAATTGTATATTTTGCCACTTGTGGAATTATATTGTTATCAATATACATTTAGAAGAGAGTGGGTCTAAAATCTGCAATTCTTAGTATGAGAGATGATGACACTAATCCAGTACAAGAAATGCATGCTCTTAGACTTTTTATTTGTGTTTGCCACAGCAATAAGAGAGTCATAGTGTCATGTATTCTCTGAAATAGTAATAGTGGGCTCTAGCTGTAATCAGACAGATCTGAGTTCAAAGCTTGCATCGGCTAATTACTGACAAGGCAGTCTTGAAAAAGGCAAGTGTTTTTTCCTCTACCTTTATTTTCCAATCTATTAAATATCTACCTTGGATGATATCATTATGGATGAATGAAATAATTTATATTAACTATCTACAGTTGTGACTAGCACATAGCAATTGTTCAAAATATAGCATTAATAATTGCTGCTGCTATGAAGATAATGATTACCTTGGGCATTTTAAGATGGCTAATTAAGAATGGGATCTTTGATTATGAAAGAGGACATTCCTATGTATGTACAATGCATACTGTCCGATGTGAGGATCAAGTTTATGACCTTGACATCATAGTCTTTATTTCAGCTTCTGAGCTCAGTAATAGCCACTTGTATATTCACTTCTTTTAAAAATATGCAGTCTCAATTGTGCTAAATAGCTTATTTACTGAAAAATATCTAGAGCCCCAGACTTTAGCTATCCCTTATCAAATGTCTTTGTTTAATATTTTCTTTCCTTTCTTCTTTAAACGCAATCTAACTCACCTGTCCTCCAAGCTGTTTCTATTGAATAACAGAGAATTGCTCTGGATATAACTATAAACTTGTATATAACTGTTGTCCTAAAATACAGCATACCTCTGGGTTTACTGCTAAACTCAAATAGGAATTTACAGTTACTGCCTCTACTTTTCTGTATCTTCTCTTCATTTTTAACAATCCTGGAATTTATCATCTTCTCCAAACACCTTAATTTGCTCAGAGATGAATAGCTACCTCTTGCTTGTGACATCTGGTAGACTCCCCTTAGTCACCTTTCTCTTTGATGTCTGTACAGGTTTTTGTAACAGTACTCTTCTTAAAATATTAAATATTCTGATCTATAAGATCTCATTATACCAAAATAGCCAGATTTCTACTTTCTTGGGATTCTTTCCTTTTTTTTTTTTTCAGTCTTTCTGTTAAAAATTAACTGTCACCAAGATTAAGTCTTTGACTTCTTCTATCTCTCAGTTTTCTCCATTTACTCCTGTGGCTTCAATTACTGCCTCACAAAGGTGAGGAAAGCCTGACCTTACCCTGCAGTTCCAGATACTGCATATTTTATTTTTTATTAGTGTGTTATACTGTTTTGTTGAGTACAAACTGCAAAACTTGTCAGATTATTACCCAAATTGGACTTTCATGCTTTTATAAATGATGACTGCATTCTCACATAAATAATAATAAAACATTGTATTCAGTGTTTATGTCCTCACTTTCTGCAGGTTCTCAAACTCAGAATTTTTTTTTTCCTTTACAATGCCTTCTAGATTTTCTGCCTTAGCCTCTAGCACTCCTGAATTTTTACATTGGCCTCCTGATACAGCTTTCCACAGCCATATCACTGAGGCTTTTCCAAACTATCAGATAAAACCTCTCCAAACCAGTATCTAATTACCACATTCCTTGCTATAGAATGTTCAGTAGCTTCAAGTGGTATATTCAGTGTCCTGGGCATGCATTTAAATTCTCTTAATATAGCCATATTCTTACACCTTCTCATTCTGTCAGTTATTTTTTGTGGTACAAAAAATATCACTTACCGTGTTACTTTTCTCTACATATGGTGAACTCACTCTTTTTTATATACAGTTGACTCTCAAGTAACTGCATGGGTCCACTTACATATGGATTTTTTTTAATAGTAAATACTACAGTACACACAATCTGCAGGTTTTAAGTCTTCAGATGTAGAACCACAGATACAAAGGAACCACGTATACAGAAGGTCCACTACTTATTACACTCAGATTTTTTACTACAGGGCAGATCAGCACTCTTAACTCATGCATTGTTTAAGGGTCACTTGTATATCCAAATCCTATCCATTCTTCAAAGACAGTTAATCTTTTTGCTTCTTTATGAAGCTTTCCTTGACTATATGAAATATTCTCTTCTCTGAACCATTGTGATTCCTGCTGATGCCAGTGTTACTCAGACATCAGTAATGTATAGAACCACTTAAAAGGGGGGAAAAAAATCCCACTTTTGAATTAAAATAGCAGCAAAACTTCTGAGTGGTGATGTGATCAGAGAAGGGGGATGGTTTAAACAACTTAAATTTACTTTCTTCATTGGGAAATTAGCCATTTTATTTTGAATATGATCTTCTAAGCTTAATTTTGAAAGCTTTATGTAACTCATTTTTATGTAAGATATTTGTGTCTTATCTTTCCAATTCGATTCTAAGCTCGTTGAGTCCAGAAGTCATCTCACCTCATATTTGTATGCAAATAGGAAGTAAGTGTTTGTTTCTGTTTCCATTGCTGCATGCTGCGTTCATGTAACAAAATGGACGTACTTGCATGATTTAGTATTACTGAAAATTTATTCTCCATTGGAAATGCTGATTTGAAAAGTACAGACCTCTAATCCCAGGCATTGCCACCAGGTGGGGTGTCTGCTACCTCTTGGTAAACAGCAAATAATTGTCAACAGTTTCAGGAATTTGCATAATTAATCAATAGGAGACAACTCTGGGATTAGCTATTATACCTTTTTATCAGTAGCTTTGAAAATTAGATTTTTATTAGAGCTATGTGTAGCTATACAGAAATACTGAGAAGAATATTTAATGTTTTAATATAATTTTAAAACAGAACTGTTCACCCAAAAGTTGGCATCTGTTCAGTCTCTGTTCTACACCAAATGAAGTCTTAATTTTGCCTTTTTGTGCGTACTTTTTCTTCTATCCAACTTTATCTTACCCTCTTGTTTCACTTGAGGCATTACATTCCTAACCACTGCTAAAGAGTATTTCCTAAAAAATACCTAATTGTGTCTTGCTCCTAGCCCTCTGATCCCTTTCAGGGTGACATCAGATTGCCTGGTGTGGCCTTACTTATCATTTTACTTAATTATCTTATTATCTTACTTGTCTCCTGCTCAAGTTTCAAAACCCTTTGTTCATCTCCCAGGGAAGGTTGGTCTTTCTTGCCCAGCACTCAGCGGTTTCAGGGACACACATCCACCATCTCTATGCCCTCCAGCTGTTTCCTCCTCCGAAAGCTTTCTGATTTACAGGAGTTCTATGAGCAGAACTTAAGTTAATTTGCTCCATTCCAGGATTCACTGTGTTTCTAATCAAGCTACCCATTTTGCTTTTTCTCACCTTATAATTCATAAGCTATTGGGAAGCTTTTTAACATAGAATACAGTCACCAATTGGCTCATGATAGTTTTGTATTCTCAGTGTTGCTCCAAAAAACTTCTCAACTTGAATTTATGACAGCTTTTATAGATAATTTTTTTCTTTATATAGGTGTTGAAATCTCACATCGAAAGCCAAAACCAACAGAACAATAGGGAAAGTCAGTGAGAAAAAATAATTAGGAGAAACTCAAGATGTATTTCATGTTTTATTGACTTTTACAGGTTATGTAGAAGTGCTGGTGATACCTGCTGGAGCAAGAAGAATCAAAGTTGTGGAAGAAAAGCCAGCACACAGCTATTTAGGTAACCTGTGTTAGAGACACAGAGCCCATCCAGGTTCGAGCTTAGCTGCCTTTCCCTGGGAGTTCTGTGATGACCAGAATGTCAGTGTGTGTCTAGTTACATGTATGAATTTCCCAGGAAGCATCTCTTGTCAAGTAGGGACTTCCCTGGAGCAAAAGCAGTGTGGTTGACTGTGCATTTTTTGGCAGCAGAGGCAGGGGGGAGGTATTAATTACTTCTTCATGTTAGTCCACATTAAGGAACAGATACTCGTTAGAGGATTTGGATATGTTTTGTTTCATATACATATATATATATTTCACATATGCATACACATAAATATACACATATCCATGTTTGTTGCATGTGCAAATGCATACATAGAGATGTGTGTGTGTATTTGCTGATTGCTCTATAATTTGGAAATCTTGTGGGATTCTTAAAAAAAATTCTGTGTACTAAGAGGACTTGATCTTTTAATGGAAGACAGTGAGTCCCTTGGACTGCAAGGAGATCCAACACATCCATCCTAAAGGAGATCAGTCCTGGGTATTCATTGGAAGGACTGATGTTGAAGCTGAAACTCCAATACTTTGGCCACCTGATGTGAAGAGCTGACTCATTTCAAAAGACCCTGACACTGGGAAAGATTGAGGGCAGGAAGAGAAGGGGATGACAGAGGATGCGATGATTGGATGGCATCACTGACTCAATGGACATGGGTTTGGATGGACTCTGGGAGTTGGTGATGGACAGGGAGGCTTGGTGTGCTGTGGTTCATGGGGTTGCAAAGAGTCGGACACGACTGAGCAACTGAACTAACTGTGCTGTCTTTTGCCTCACTTCAGGTGTACCCATCTATGAAGAAAGTTTTTTGTTTTTAATTTTGAAATAGAAAAGTTGGTTTATAATATTTCGTTAGTTTCAGGTGTACTGCATAGCGCTGACATATGCATACATTATGAAATGGTCACCACAATAAGTCTAGTAACCATCTGTCCCCAAACAAAGTTATTACAATATTATTGATCATATTCCTTATACTATATCTTATATGACCTGCATTGCGTATTTCATCACTGGGGCTTTCACCTATATCATGTACCCACTACCTCCTCCCTCTGGCAGTCACCCCTTTGCTCTCTGTATCTAAGAGTTTCTTTTTATTTTAATTTGTTTGCTTGTTTTCAATTTTTAAATTCCACATGTATGTGAGATCATACAGTATTTGTCTTTCTTTGTCTGACTTATTTCATTTACCATAGTATCCTCTAGATCTAAATATTCATTGCAGATGGCAAGATTTCTTTTTCTTTTGGATGATTAATAGTCCATTATGTATATAAACCACACTGAAATACTTTCCCACACCATATACAGAAATAAACTCAAAATGGATTATTTAAATTTAAGACCAGAAACAATATAATTCCAAAAAGAAAACATAGGTAATAGTTCTTTGACAACAGTCTTAACAATATACATATATATATTTTTTGATCTGTCTACCTAGGCAAGGCAAATGAAAGCAAAATAACCAAATGGGACTATATCAAACTAAAACCTGTTAACAAATGACAGGTTCTGTTTTCTTTATCTATTCATCTATCATTGGACACTTAGACGAATGAACGCTTCTATACCTTGACTATTGTAAATAATGCCACACTGAACATCAGGGTGCCTATCTCTTTTTGAATTAGTACTTTTGTTTTCTTTGAGTTAATACCTAGGAGTGAAATTGCTGGATCAATTCAGCAATTGAAGTTCTGTGTTTAACTTTCTAAGGAATCTCCCTACTGCCTTCCATAGTGACCACACCAATTACACTCCCACCAACAGTATAAGAGGATTTTCTTTTTTCCACATACTGCCAACACTTGTTTTTGTCTTTTTGATGATAAACATTCTGACCGATGTGAGGTGATATCTCATCATGGTTTTGATTTTCATTCTCCTGATGATTATTAATTCTGAGCATCTTTTTATATATCTGTTGACCATCAGAAAGTCCTTGAAAAAAATTTCAGAGCCTCTGCCCACTTTATAATTGGATTGTTTAGGAATTTTTGATGTTTATTGTATGAGTACTTTGTATATTTTGGATATTAACTTCTTACAGGATATATTGTTTGCAAATATCTCCTCCCATTCAGTAAGCTGCCTTTTCATTTGTTGACACATTTTTAGTTTGACATATTCCCATTTGGTTACTTTTGCTCTTGTTTGCCTTGCCTGAGTAGACAAATCCCCGCCCCCAAAAAAAGTATTGCTAAAACTGCTGTCAAAGAGCACACTACCTATGCTTGCTTCTAGGAATTTTGTGGTTTCAGGTCTTAAATTTAAAACTTTGATCCACTTTGAGTTTATTTCTGTATATGGTGTGGGAAAGTAGTCCAGTTTGATTCTTACGCATGTAGTTGTCCAGTTTTCCCAACACCATTTGTAGAAGAGCTGTCCTTCCTCAATGTATATTCTTGTCTCGTTTGTCATAGGTTAATTAACCATAAAAACATTAATTTATTTCTGGTCTTTCAGTTCTATTCTATTGATCAGTGTCTGTCTTTCTCCATGTTTGGTACCAGACTCTTAATTACTGCTGCTTTGTAGTATCATTTAAAACGAGGGTATGTGCGATACCTACCGTTTTATTCTTCTCTTTCAAGATTGCTTTGGCTATTCAGGGGCTTTTTGTTTCCAAATAAATTTTAGAATTATTTGTCCAAATTCTCTGGAAAGTGCAAGCAGTATTTTGATAAGGGTTGCAATAAATTTGTAGGTTGCCTTAGTGGTATGGTCATTTTAACAGTAAAAATTCTTCCAATTTATGAGTTCAGTATATCTTTCCATCACCTTTTGTTGTCTTCAGTTTCTTTTTTTTTTCCAGTTTCTTTCATTAATGCCATATAGTCTTCCAATAGAAGTCTTATACCTTCTTAGTTAGATTTACTCTTAAATATTTTATTCTTTTTGATGTAATTATAAATGGAACTGTTTTCTTATTTTCCTTTTCTGATGATTCATTACTAGTATTTAGAAGTGCAACAGATTTCTGTATATTGATTTTGTGTCCTGCTACTTTTCTGAATTAATCTATTAGTTCTAATAGTATTTTGGTGGCATCTTTAGGGTTTTTTGCATATAGTATCATGTCATATGCAAAGAGTGATAGTTTTACTTCTTTCTTCCAGTTTGGATTGTTTTTCTTTGTTTTTCTTGTCTGATTACTGTAGCTAGAACTTCCCATACTATGTTGAATGAACATGGTGAGAGTAGGTATCCTTATCCTGTTCCTGATTTTAGAGGAAACACTTTCACCTATTGAAAGCATTGAGTAAGATGTTGACTGTGCTTTTGTCATATCTGGCCTTTTAAATATCGAGGTATATGTCTTCTATTTCCACATCGTTAAAAGCTTTTTTATTCTAAATAAATGTTGATTTATGTCCAAATGTTTTCTGCATCTTAGAGATGACCTTTTTTTTTAAGTGTTCACTTTGTTTACCTGGCGTATCACATTGATTTGTGTATTGCACTATCCTTTTATCTCTGAGATGGACCTAACTTAATCATGATGTAGCGATCCTTTTAATGTATTGTTGAATTTTATTTTCTAGTATTTTTTTTTAAGATTTTTGGATCTATGTTCATCAGGAACATTGACTTATAATTTCCTTTTCCTGTCTTGTCTTTGTCTAATTTTGGTATCAGGGTGATACTTGCCTCATGGAATGAATTTTGAAATGTTCCTTCCTCTTAAATTTTGGAGAATAGTTTGAGAAGGATAATAGTTTAAAGAAGGATTTATCCTTCTTTAAATATTAGATGAATTTACCTGTGGAACTATCTGGTCCTTGAGTCTTGTTTATTGGGAATTTTCTGATTAATGAATCAATTTCATTACTGGGAATTGGTCTTTCATACTCTCTCTTTCTTCCTGATTCAGTCTTGGGACATTGCATATTTCTAGGAATGTATTCATTATTTACAGGTTATCCAATTTTTTGTATACAGTTACTCATACTAATCTCTTATGATCCTCTGTATTTTGTGGTGTTGATTGTAACTTTTTTTTTCATTTCTGATTTTATTTCATTGGGCGCTTGAGAAAATATTTTTAAATTTTTAAGTATTGCTTCTGGAAAAGCTATATTGTATCAGCTATTTTACTTAGCCCAATTAATAATGTTTAAATACATGATATAAAATAGTATATTGTCAAAATCTATATTGCTTATAAATTAATATTTCAAGCTAATTAAGTCATGTAAAATTCTCTTTGATAGTCATGGCATTCACTGACATCTAATATTATACATGTGGCAAAAGGCTATTTTTCCATAGTTTAAACATCATATTTATATTATCTTTTTTCAAATTATTATATTTTTAGCTTATATTGGAGTGGGGCTTCCCAGGTAGCTCTGGTGGTAAAGAATCTGCCTACCAATGCAGGAGATGTAAGAGATGCAATTTCAGTCCTTGAGTTGGTAAAGTCTCCTGGAGGAGGGCATGACAACCCAGTCCAATATTCTTGCCTGGAGTATCCCATGGACAGAGGAGCCTGGCAAGTTATGGTTCATAGGGTCACAAAGAGACATGACTGAAGCTACTTAGCACAACACACACAGCACATAGTTGATTTACAATGTTGTGTTAGTTTCAGATGTACAGCAAAGTGATTCAGTCATATTTAACCTTTTTCAGATTTCTTTTCCATTTAAGTTATTATAGAATATTGAGTAGAGGTCCGTATGGAATACAGTAGGTATACAGTAGGTACTTATTGATTATGTATTTTATATAATAGTGTATGTGTTAATAGCAACCTCCTAATTTATAGTTCCCTTCCACCTTTTCACTTTGGTAACTGTAAGTTTGTTTTCTAAGTCTGTGAGTCTGTTTCTGTTTTCTAAATAAATTTATTTGTATCATTTTTTTTAGATTCCGCATATAAATGTTATCACATCATATTCATCTTTGTCTGGCATACTTCATTTAGTATGATAATCTCTAGGTCC